GTTTGGACAACACTGGAATAAGGGCACTGAAAACAGGCTGTGGGTAGAGGTGATTTTAACAGAAGTGTTGAGATTCACTGAAGTAGTGAGGGGCAAGAAGCCAAGTCTCTCTCTATTCAGCACTCTGCAGGACCACGGTGTTGAAGTTTTCTAGGAGATGCAATAGGTCCCATTAAAGATAAGGAAAGCACATGGGGATTTTAATCTGCCGCAAGCCAATGTGAATGTTAAAGGAACATGATAAAGAGGAGGGAGTTGTGTGGAGGAGCCACATCTTTCATTTCCTCTGGCACTGAGATTGCAGAGTTGTCAAGCCATCCAGGATCCAAAGAGCACTACTTAGGTAACAGGAGCCATAGCTGTTTGCTGCAGCTGTCTAGACCAGCAGAGGCTAATAGCACTTATAAATGTGAGCACGGCTTAATGGAAGGAAGCTCGGAAAACTGCATCAGTAGAGATGTGTGTAGAAACCAGATGCAACATGACAAACACCAAGACTTGAGGTAGGTGCATGTGTATAAGGGACAAAGTGGCCAGAGGCCTGTTTTAACAGCAGCAGATGGGGAAGGCTTTGCTGGCAAAGGAAGACAGCGGTAGCATTCAGCTTGCGCCCTGGATGTCGAGTACTGCATAGGATCTGCCGTTTGACTCCCCGGGTAGAAGGGGTGAGGGCTGTTCAGCCTAGCAGCAACCATTTGGCTTTTGGGACATCTGGGTTTTCCCATAGGAAACCAGGAGCCAAACTCTTTTATGATCATTTGAAAAGCATCCCCTGCCCCCTTCAACAAAATGCTTCATTAGGACAGATGGTATCAAATCTGGTTCGCCATGTCAGCACTTACGAAGAAAGGAACAAGCCTTTGCAGTGATACTGCATCCCCTGAAGCATGCTGGATCTTGAAGATAAACCAGTGCTACAGCTCTTCCTGCATCTCCCCATCGTCATGCTAGTCCCAGGCCCTACTCAAGACCTAAATCAGTTTACTTTGTCTTCTACGCATGTCAAGTAAGCAAGGGGTCTTGCACAGCTCAGGATTCTCACTATTAAGCAAAATTGCAGCTGGTGCTTTCTGCCAATAACCAACCCCAAGCTTGGCTGGCACTGGGGTGTTTGGAGGCGACTGGTTTATCCCCTCGCCTTGTTGCTGTTGCCTGTACATCATTGGAAACTCAGAGAAAGTGTACGAGGCTGTTTAAAACGCTGCAGTTTGTGGTGAGATTGTGCTAAGCAGTGGCCGTTTCACCGCTTGGAAATGCTTTAGGGCACTGGGCTGAGAGAAAGCACGCAGAAGAAACCACAGGGTGCTTATGTTAATAATACAGAAAGACTAACCTGCTCTAGAGTCCAGGGAGGACGTGGAAGCAATACGATGCATGCTCTGTCACCTTTCCGCAAGGCTTCTGACATAGTGGAGTGCCAGAGGGGAGGATTTAAGCGTAGAGCCTAAAGATCAATCAGGGCTCATGGTAGAGATGATATCTTTTATTAGACCAGCTAGATTTTTGCAAAAAAATTATTTAATTGCAAGCTTTCGGGCATAAACACCCTTCTTCAGGCATCAGAGAAAAGACTGTAAAAAAGACATCACCTCTACCACGAGTCCCGATTGCTTTTTCCTCTAGACCAATACAGCTACAACCTGGGAGCCTGAAGATCTGCATTCGTCTGACTTCAGGAAGGCAATTTAAAGAACACCAGCCAAATGGATGGGACCGGACTAAGAAAGCTATTGTGAAAAACAAGAAGGAGCCATAATTAAGCTGAGGAAAGGTCAAGGGCTCAATTTCTTTGCAAAGCAGCAGCAGTTAGTGGTCTGGAACAGAGCGGACACCACACACAAACTGCAAAGCATTTGATTATAGCCAGAGCAGGGAGACTGGGGAGCGGAAAAGTTGACCTGGGGGTGGGCTGGGGGCAGACAGGCTCCTTGTCCCCTTACTGCACTGAAATCCAAATGGAGCCCTCAGCTAAGCTGGCCAGGCCTTCGTATTCTCCTACGACCGATTTGAAATTCATCAGTGATTACTCACAAGGGGTGACGGCCTCATTAGAGGGAGAGCTTTTGGGGAGCTGATGAATTCCAGCCTCATCAGTGCAAGGGCTGTTGTGAGCTGAATGCTAATTCCACGACTTCTAAAGGTGGTTTCCCGCGCAGACGTGGGAGAAGAGAACAAGAACTTGAAGTCTTTGGAGTGCGCAAACTGCTGGCATACGAAAAGGGACTGCTCTTAAATTTGCTAATGAAGACAATTAAAGTAATCAAAAGTCACATTTTGTTAGCGTCTGAGAACCTCCTTGCCAAATCTCTGCCAATTAGCAACCCCCGGCTCCGGGCTGCTCACGTGTTCGGTTTTATACCGTCCGCAGCAGCATTTGACGCAATTGGAAATCTAGCATTGCAGTTCCAGCCAAGGCAACCACTTAATTCAGCCTAAAGGACCTTTCCCAGTTGAGCAGCCTTGAAAGATGAGAATATTGCTGTTAATGTAAGTGCCTGGGGCAGGGACCATGTCTTTGTTCTCTCTCTGAGGCACCATTGACAACATGTTGGCTACTAACCAAGCTACTTGGTTTGTCCTAGGGGGACTGCCCTTTGCAGCCATCTCAGATTTGGCTTTGGGGAAAGGGCTTCTTCCATAGAGGTCAGAAATGAAGCAGATCTCATAAGTCAGAGTCCACACCAAGGCAGCTGGCATGTACTAGCACTGCATGTAAAAGTTGCTCTGTTTTCAGAAACAAAATTTTACTTCGACCTGTAAGACCCACTGTTAGCAAATCTGTTGCCAGGTCCATTACAACTTCAGCTATTCTGTAAGGAATGTATTTAAACTAAAAGTAGCATCTCTACAAGACTTTGTACTAATTTTGCTACATTTCAACACAGACCATTAAGACCAGCGCAGACAAAACCCAGGAGGCATATACAGCACGATCGAAAGGCAGCTGGTAAGTTTAAGGGTAGGCCTACACTGAAAGCTTTGGTGGCACAGCAAACCTGGTAACCTCCCTTAGGGAAGAAGCAGCTTCTGGTAGCTGAAGTTGTTTGCTTGAGCACCTTCAGTCAGTAGCACAGAGGGAACAAACCATGCCAGTGAAAGGAGTCTGCCAGGGTAAGTATAGGTAAGCCAGACTTCAGGAACACGGATCTGTGGCAAGAAAACGTGAGATACTGGGCAAGGGGGGAGTGAGAAATGAGACCTGTAAAATATATATATAATTTGGAGGTTTTTTGCTGTACCTAAAGATCATGTCAACAAGGTGAGTTTTTCAAGCAGAGGCAGATGTGTTGCCTGGCAGGCTAACTCCACAGGAGAGAGAGAAACGTGAGGCCTCTCCCACAGAGCCACGTGAGAAGGCCTCAGGAGCAGGTAGCACCGCTTTGTTTATGCAGGCAGTTTACCCTCGAGCTTGGCTAAACCACATCAAGAGTACACCTTCGGCAGGGGAAAGAGCTGCCAAACATTATGCAACGAAAACATGCGGAGAAATTAAAGCTTAAGCGTTCTGTAGATGGGGAAGCGAGCTAAACCGACAGGGGCTCTGGTCACGGAAGGGTAAGAAGGGATTGGAGGAGTGAGGAAAGCAAGATGGACGGAAAGCAGCAGCAAGTGTTTTTCAGAATACAGGCAGTCCTCGACTTACAACGTTTATAAACGGACACCCTGTTTCACTTTCTGACGTCAGTTTCATCTTGCAACGCTTGATCCGATGGAACTCCACGCCAGCGAACAAGTTCGCTGCGTTGCTCATCTCCCTGGAGAACATCTGTCCAAACTTGCTTGGACACTTCCTTTAAGAAAGCAAACAAGACTCCAGAAAAACCTGCAGCCAGGACTCCTGAGAAGACTCCAGCCAAGAACCCTTCAAAAAGTCCAGCGAAGTCACCTCAAAGAAATCCTTCCAAATCAGTGATTACTATTTACGATATAAATATATTAAAGTAGTTATATTACTCATCTAGAATTGATTAAGTACAAAATTCTGGGGTATTTTTGGTGAAAATAGTTCAGGAACAAATCCCCCCCATTCAGAACATTGTTTCCGATGAGAATATTGGTTCCGAGTTACAACGTTTCGACTTAAGACAAGGTTTTCAGGAACCAATTGTGTCATAAGTCCGAGGACTGCCTGTACTGTCAAACGTTAAACCATGTTTTTACGAGTTGTTAACACGGATGCTGCGAATCTGATGTGCCTGTTTCTGAGCAGAGTGGAAGGTAACACCGATCTGCACTCCCAGGGAAAGTTTGAATCAGCTTGTGACGAGGTTCTTCTTTCAGAAATGCATTTTCATGAACTTGTTAAAGAAACTCAATGCTTTGCCAGTGTCTGCCTTTGGAAGACAGCATAGGCTGGTGTGTCAAGAGTGCTACTGCACAGAACGCATTGGCGTTTTGTCGTAGTGTTTGTGTCATGGGCATCGAAGGCCGTGCGTTTGGAGGGAACAGATTGGAGACTACCACCTCTGACCTTCCGCGGCTTTGCCAAGAGAAGGGGAGGTTGCTCATCTAACCCGGTGTGCAGCTTTCCCCAGCCGAAAGAACTATCCTCTTTCGGTGCCAGTCTCATAAGCAGGGAGCAAGGCTTAAATGTCTCTGAACACTCACTCCTCCACCACTGCTATCTGTGCCTTACAGGGCAAGGCAGAATTACCCAGTGATAAGTACAGCTTAGTTTGTGGCATCGAAACCTCTCCTGCCAAACACCTTGCCTGGAAGTGTATTTAGCACATAGCCCCCACTGTTTGTTTGGCTACTTGGTGCTTGCTGCAAAGAATGTCACTGGACTACTGGAGCAGGAGTGACGCCCACAAACACCAGGCCTCCCATGGAGGCAGCTGAGCACACAGATTGCTCCTCCACCCATGTTCAAATCAGTACATGCCCAAGACTAATGAACAGCCTTGGATGGTCTGCTTTAGTTAGGCAATCCCTAAACTACTTTATGGGACACCCACTGAGCAGGGCTGGTTGAAATTCAAGTGCATACAGAGACCAGAAGGATGACGAAAGCTTTATTGGGTTCCAGATGAACCAGACTTTGGCCGGTTACAGGACAGCAGAGTTGATGGCAAAGGTAAGTTACCAACATGCATGACTTGGTGAAAAGAGCTAAGGCTGTATTCAAACAAGCATGTGCCCGGATTCAAGCCAGAGCTGCACCACAGAATGCCATGTGCCATCAACCAGACTGGCAGCCACCTCGAGAACCCCGTCAGATCTATTCTCCAAGGGCGTTTATACACGTGCTCCGGGAGGTGGGGGGGTTGAATGAGCTTTAGTTTAAAGCGCCTGTCTCCATTTTGCAGCGCGAGGACACCGATGCACGTGACGCTGGATGCTGCTGGAGCACATTAATTTCCATGCTCCGGCAGACTCAAGGCTGGAATTACAGCACATCCGAGCAGGCTCCCTGCACGTGTATAGGAGCCCCAAGGGACCCAAACTTTACCAGGTAGGAAGGAGGAGGTCTGAATTGCAAAAGTGGCTCATTTCCCTCAACGACCCCCTTAGGGGGAGCATCTTCCAGAACGGTAAGTTACTCCAACCCATAAGTGTGCTGTCTTGTTTTGAATACAGCCCTAGAGAGAATGGAAACCTAGAAAGATCTTGATACACAACATGCATCAATCACTTCTATTAAATACTGGCAGGCTCAGTGAGAGGAGTCACATGAAAGGCAGAAAAAGGAGCAACGGTGACCCCTCTACTCTGTTTTAAATAGGAAGGGATCAAGCAACATGCTGCACTGGCATTTCATGGGCTTCGGGCTTCAAGAGAAAGGAATCCGTTTTATAAAGTCAGTTTGTCGTGTAAGTCCATTTCCTCAGCTGCTACCAGCCTGCTCACGTGCTGCCTAGTCACGCTTCGGGTTGAAGAGAGCAATCTGCTCTGAACTCCGAGTGAATTGCAATGATAGAAGCAGCTCAGAGATACAAGAAACGAAAGGAGCCTGGTATTTAGGCCGCTGCTGTCTGGTTAAAATACTAGGCTGACCCAGCTTGCCTGTTTGTTTAATTTATTGAATTTCAGAGGTGCACATTAAAGCGTTAAGATCGAGTGCTTTGCATTCCTCAGTCTGTACAAGTTCCTTCAACCACCTGGAATACACAGGCTTTACAGAGAGAAGCATTGAAATACAAGATAAAACAAGTCTAAATCCCAAAATCACTGCAAGAAACCCACCCCCAAAGGTGTAGAAAATAAAAACAAAACAACAAAAACAACCCCCCCCCAAAAAACAACCTGCAGTGCTCCTGAGGGGAAGGAAAGACCGCATGAGGAGGGACACAAAGGGTGGGAGGAGAACTACTGTAGATCGTAACATGCTGCTGATCTGTGCAGGAGGCTCAGGGGATGGAGTTCAAGAGATCCTTGAGGAAGCTGTCGGGGTCGCTGATTTCCGTTAAGAGTCCTTAAAAAAAAAATATATAAAAAAAAGGGTACAGAGCAGTTAGTGAGGGGCTGGATAAGCTCTTCTGAATCATCAGACATCTGCTGCAACCTGAAGCTGGATTTCAAAGGCACGTGAACAAAACTGCAGGCCTGCTGCGGAAAAGCCTCTCAGAATAGGTTTCGAGGCAAGTCTATGCCAATGGATACCCGAGAACAGCAAGCCCATTTTGGTTCAAGTTCGTTAACCCGTGGACTTGGCTCTGACCATCAGTGCCATCAGCCAGCCGTTGGCAAGAGCCCGGGTGCAACTTGCGCTATGTCAGCGTCCAAAGGGTGAGCTACTAATGTGCACGCTGCAGTGTACAGCTGCATGTCAGTCGGGTGCAGCTACCCCAGGGCAAGCACTGATGTCTGCGAAGGGGATTTCAGCCAAGACCTTGCTACAGGTTCAAACTTTCGCTTAGCTCCCCAGCGAAATGCTGGGTGCTTAGGGAGCAGCTGGGAGAGGCATCAGGAGCTAATGCAGTCTAGATGTTATATGAAGGAAGTGGCATCCGCTGCTAGACAGCTGATGTAGCAGCTCCAGGAGCCGGATGGTGGCTAAGAGAGACTGCTCTGCAGCAACATAACTACTAGTGAGGACAGAGGAGCCGAGAGCGGCTCCCCAGTGGGGCCCCCTCTCTTTTCCTGGGGATACTGGAAGCATTAACAGGAGCAGATGCAGTTCATGAGGGGGAAGGGGTCACAGTCTCATGAAATTACTTTCCATCACATTACAACAGCAGCAGCCGCTCTTACACCACCTATGCCCAGTAGCACCCTTCAGCTGTGGGTGTCAAAGCCCTTTACAAAATAAGAGCATTTATCACCTCTCTGCAGAGAGGGAAACTGCAGGGGCAGGGGAGAGCATAGGAAACGAACCGATTTCACCCTGGAGAGGAATGTGCAGATCAGGCACAGAAAACTCTCCAGAGTGGCCTGTGCGGCAGCTCTAATTAATCCCATGTCTCAGTCACACGTTCTGCCCAAAGCAAGCGTCTGCAATGCTGGTCTCAACCAACTGAGAGTCACAAGTTACATGAAAGAGTCTATAAAAGGTAAAGCTAAACACTGACCAGCCACATCCAGAAATTCAGAAAAGGTTTCAACTGGCATGAACTCCTCCTGGAAGGTTTTCAGGGCTTTGTCTGCAGCTTCGTGTATCGGCATGTCGTTGTGTCGTATAAATTCAGCCAGAGAGTAGGACCAGCCTCCCTCCGTGTTACTGGTAGGCACCTTCTACAGAAGGGGAGAAAAGGGTCAAGTCACCTCCTTTCAACCTGCCGAAGAAACTGCTGAGAAAACGCATGGTTCAAAAACCCTGCTGCCTCGTCTCAAGGCGGCACAGGCTTGTTCCGCAGTGGGGCCTTTAGGTTTAGTTTCTGCTCCTTGTAAACATGCCACGTGGAAAAGTTGCCTAGTGCCCAGCCTTTCTACTCGTCTAGCATAGAACTTGAACAAAATTCCCAGGCCTTTTCTCTCCCCTCTTCACCCTATTGAATGTTTGTTCTCTGGGGAGAAAGCGGTATGTACCCCGTACTTCCTAAAGGAAGGCTGCATCTTACATACCCTTCAGCCGCCCCAAGCAACTGCCTAGAGCCTCCATTTCCTCCCTACCCTGCAAAGAAAAGGATTCCTACAACTTGTTCTAGGGCACAAAACAACAGCTGGACGGAAGACAGGAAAACAGGAAGAGGAATGGGGAAGGTCTAGGTTCTTCAGATGGGAAATAGCTGGGGGACGCGCATGGGCACAAGCGCACATCAGTGCCAGCCCTCCTGTTCTTATAAGCCGAATTTCAAATTTAGTACTGTCTTTGAAGACAGGGCTTCAAGCTCTGTCTACTCTTCAAAGGATCAATGCTGCTCTGTTGCCTCGCAAGTCGATGAGCTGTGGCTCCAGGAGACTCGTGGCCTGTCTGAGTGGGCATCCTAATGTGCCCCCCCCGGACTCCTCCATCCCTGCCCATGGGCACCCAATGAAGAGCACTGCCTCAGTTGGGCTGTCAACATTATCACTGCTGGGGGGGTGCAGAGTAGAAGCATGTGGGACCCCCCCCCCTTTAGAGCCCACCCTAATCTTACAATGGGGGGGATGCCCTTCCCCTTAGGACAGCAGTCGTGGCAGCAGAGGAGGGGACTCTCTGGGCTGGAGAAAGAGCACGCGGGCGCTGCAGGAGCTGCGTCAGGGCAGGGGGGGCTGGGGATGAAGGCAGGGAAGGGGTGATATGGGGGGGCTGGGGGAGCCTCT